CCTGTTCATGACAACTTGCACTTTAGCGGTATTTATGAACTGTGTGACAAACACACTGAAACAAAACTTTTAACCTAAAATAGGGGAATTTGCTTCCAGTGGGAGAGGAGGGGGCTACATTCCGAAAAATCTGCCTAGCAACTCTATTTCCCTTCAACTGAGGCTGAAAGGTGAGTGGGTGGCCAACCTACTCTAAGGAAATGGCTTTGGACTTTAATTATGAGCCACATAACCATTTAGGTTTTTCTTTTAAATGTAATTGTTATTGACGGGGTTCCCTCCACACAGATTCCTTGAAACGAAATAATTGATGGATTCAGACTCAAGTTCCATTTCATCTATTTTCTGGATCCTGATATGTGATTGAGGGTAGGGTCCCTCTTGTAGCACATCGGTAGTGTGGCCTCGGTTCAAGTCCAACCTGCTGCAGAGGTGTGTCATAGCATCTCTGAACAAGTTGATTAGAAAAAAACAGATTGAGGAATCTCCATCGTCAGCCACAACTTTAGTGGCATCTTGCGCTCAGACTACTGATACCCTCCTGTCTCCTAGGTCTGCAATCCAACCAACATCATTTTCCCAATATCCACCACACTGTCCTCCAAATTCTGACCACTCCAATTCCCCCACTCCTGCCATGGTCAGAGCTGCCTCAGACTCCCAACCTTTACACTCCATTCAATCAACACCCTTCTACCAAATAACTACCCATCTAATTAAACTCCTTTTTTCAACTATTTAAAACTTCTCCCATTTGCCTCATGTTTATTCATTTGTGACTTGTACTTCACAGACTCTTTATATCAACTAATTTGAAATGCAATTAACAATACCTGTTGATATTCATTTGAAAAGATGTTGAAAGAAGAAAACAAAAAATCTGAGAGGCATGATGCCCAATTTAAAATAGATCTGGCTTCCATTAATGGTCAGATGTAAGCATTTAAATATTGCTATGTCAGAAGTTCTATTCTGTTCATTACTTTTCATTTCCTTTGAGACTTAAATGCATTCTTGATAAATAAAGGAAGCTTCCAGAAATTGTTTTGCAACTTTCCAAGAACCAAACGAAGTCAAAGTTTTGTTAAGTCCCATTGTTATGATTAATTAAAGCTGCTGGGAGACCTATGACTACACAATAATGACAATTTGAATTTACATAGCATCTTTAAAGTAATGTCACAAGGTGCTTCAAAAGAAGTTTACCAAAACAAGTTGACACCGAGTCTTGAAAGGACAATGGGCAAAAGCTTGGTTAAAGTGGTAGGTTTAAAGGGGATGAAAAAGTGAGCTAAAAGAAGTGAAGAGTTTAGGGAGGCTTGGCATTTGAAGGCCCTGCCAACAATGGTGAAGGGTAGATCCCTCAAGAATTGTTGACCTAGAATGGATAAGCAAGATAGAGAAGGGGAAAGGCCATGGAGGAATTTGAAAACTAGTTGAGATTTTGTATGACCATACAAAGTGTGGTTCAACTAGGAGTCAGGATCGAGCAGCAAATACAGGGCAATGGAGAATCGGAGGCGCTTTTTCTTAAAATTCATTTTTATGGGATGTGTACGTCACTGGCTGGCCAGCATTTATTGCCTATCCCTAGTTGCCCTTGAGAAGGTGGTGGTGAGCTGCCTTCTTGAACCGCTGCAGTCCACCTGCTGTAGGTTGACCCACAATGCTATAAGGGAGGGAATTCCAGGTTTTTGATCCAGCGACAGTGAAGGAACGGCAATATATTTCCAAGTCAGGATGCTGAGTGGCTTGGACGGGTACTTGAAGGTGGTGGTATTCCCATATGCCTGCTTCCCTTATCCTTCTAAATGGAAATGGTTGTGGGTTTGGAAGGTGCTATCTGAGGATCTTTGGTGAATTTCTGCAGTGCATCTTATAAATTGTGCACACTGCTGCTGCTGAACATTGGTGGTATGGGGGGTGGGGGTTGTTAGTTTGAGGACGTAAGCAATCGAGCAGGCTGTTTTGTCCTGGATGGTGTCAAGCTTCTTCAGTGTTGTTGGGGCTGCACTCATCCAGGTAACTATTCCAAAATACTCATGACTTGTGCCTTGTAGATGGTGGACAGGCTTTTGGGAGTCAGGAGATATGAGTTACTCGCTGCAGTATTCCTAGCCTCTGAACTGCTCATGTAGCCACTCACTCTTGTGGTGAGTCCAGTTGAGTTTCTGGTCAATGATAACCCCCAATATATTGACAATGGGGGATTCAGTGACAGTAACACCACTGAATGTCAAATGTGGTGGTTAGATTGTGTCTTATTGGTGATGGTCATAGCCTTGCATTTGTGTGACTCAAATGTTACTTGCCATAAGCTTGGTTATCATCCAGATCTTGTTGCATTTGGACATGGACTGCTTCAGTACCTCAGGGGTCATGAATGGTGCTGAATATTGTGCAATTATCGGCGGACATCCACACAAAGAACAAAGAATGAAGAAAATTACAGCACAAGAACAGGCCCTTTGGCCCTCCAAGCCTGACACTTCTGACCTAATGATGGATGGAAAGTCATTGATGAAGCAGCTGAAGATGGTAGGGCCTGGGACGCTACCCTGAGGAACTCCTGCACAGATGTCCTGAAGTTGAGATGTTTGACCTCCAACAACCTTGACCATCATCTTATATGTCAAGAATGACACCAACCAGTGGAGGGTTTGCCCCCAGATTCCAGTTTTGCTAGGGGTCCTTGATGCCACATTCGACTGAATGCAGCCTTGGTATCAAGGGCTGTCACTCTCAACTCACCTCTGGAATTCAGCTCTTTTGTCCATGTTTGAACCAAGGCTGTAATGAAGTCTGGAACTGAGTGGCCCTGGCAGAACCCAAACTGGGCATCACTGAGCAAATCATTGCTTTACAAGTGCTGTTCCATCACATTGCTGATGATCAAGAGTAGACTGATGGTAATTGGCCAGGTTGGATTTGTCCTGCTTTTTAGGTACAGGATATATTGATCAATTTTCTATATTGTCAGGTAGATGCCAGTGTTGCAACTGTACTGGAACAGCTTGGCAACGGAAACAGCAAGTTCTGGAGCACAAATCTTCAGTACTATCACCGGAACTTTGCCAGGGTCTGTAGCCTTTGCAGTATCCAGTGTCTCCAACTGTTTCTTGATATCACTAGTATCTGTATTGTTGGGGACCACTGGAGGAGGTCAAGATAGATCATCCATTCGGCACTTCTGGCTGAAATTGCTGCAAAAACTACAGCCTTATCTTTTACACTGATGTGTTGGGCTCTTCCACCATTGAGGGTGGGGACATTTGTGGAGCCTCCTCCTCCGGTGAGTTGTTTAATCATGCATCACCATACACAACTGAATGTGGCAGGACTGCAGAGCTTAGATTTATCCGTTGGTTGTGGGATTGCTTAACTCTGACTTATCACTTGCTGCTTGTTCTGTTTGGCATGCAAGAAGTTCTGTTTTGTGACTTCACCTGGTTGACACCTCATCGTCAGGTACACACTCTCCACTGAACCATGGTTGATCCCCTAGCTTGATGATAATGGTTGAGTGGGGGATATGCCAGGCCATGAGGTTACAGATTGTGTTGAAGTAAAATTCTGCTGTTGTTAGCCCACAGCACCTCACAGATGCCTAATCTTGAGTTGCCAGATTTGTTCGAGGTCTGTCCCATTTAGCACTGTGATAGTGCCACACAACACGATGGAGGTTATTCTGAAATGTGAAGGCAGGACTTAGTCTCCACAAGGACTGTGTGGTGGTCACTCTTACTGATACTATAAAGGCCAGATGCATCTGCAGCTGGTAAGGACGAGGTTAAATATGTTTTCCCACTTGTTGGTTGCCTCACTGCCTACCACAGAACCAGTCTAGCAGCTGTATCCTTTAGGACCCAACCAGCTCAATCAGTATTACTGTTGCCAAGCCACTCTTGGTGGCAGACATTGAAATCCCCCACCCAGAGTACATTTTGTGATCTTGCCATCCTCAGTGCTACCAACCTTTGTTCAACATGGAGTACTGATACATCAGCTGAGGGAGGACATTACGTGGTAATCAGCAGGAGGTTCCTTTGCCCATGCTTAACCTGAAGCCATGAGATTTCATGCAGTCTGTAGTCAATGTTGATGACCCCACTGCCGGACACCACCTTCCTCACTGTATACTACTGTGCGGTCACCTCTGCTGGGTCTGTCCTGCTGATGGGACAGGACATATCCAGGGATGGTGAAGGTGGTGTCTGGGACATAGTCATATTCACAGAATTATACTTTACAGACAAGGTCAGGCTGTTGCTTGACTTGTCCGTGAGATAGCTCTCCAATTTTGGCACTAGCCCCCCAGGTGTTAGTAAGGAGAACTTTGCACGGTCAACAAGGGCTGTATCTGCTGTTGTCTTTTCCGCTGCCTAGGTTGATGCCAGATGATCCATCTGGTTTCCTGTGAATTTTGACTGACCTTAAGTTTATGGGGGTGAAAGTTGGCAGAATTGACAGGTCCTGACTGTAAAAAACAAATTATTGCTTAGCCCAAATGTCCTGACACCTCATCCTTTCATTGTGGTGAAGAATTAAAGCAAACTTTTTTGAGCATATCAATTGTCACTTAAGATTTCCGAATGGAATTTTCACTGCTTTCAAGAGCTTCCATGTAAAGTCATGGTACTCAGATATTGTAATCACACTACATTTGGTAAATATAGAGATTTTGGAACTCATCATGGAACACTGCAGCATACAAAAAAATTACCATAATTCTAGTGACTAATTTGATGTGTTAAGCAATCCAAACTATGAAACTTCAACGATTATAAAGCTAAGGTAAAGATTCCATCCATGATACCCTAAGGAGCTCCTGAGTTCTATATTTGCTTTGAAAATTGGCTGCAATTGCTGACACCAAGGATCATGTGCAATAACAGTGATAGCTCTTCTACAAATACCAATTAATGCAATAGTACAACTGGTGACATAAATAAACTGCAAAACAAACTACAATAATTATTTCAAATTTCAAAAATCAGCTTTATATTTTGTACGTGCATGCGTGATTGACAATAACCAGCCACATGTTTGTTACAAATGCCAATCCACACTGTTTAAATACACTGGTATATTGTGATAACAGTATTTTTATAATCATTTAAACATTGTGTGCATGCACACAGCGTATCGGTGTCAGATCTTTAAAAATAACTTTTCTGGTATTTGTAAACCCAAATATTTCCACTCTGCATTTCTGGGCCATAAAGACTAATCCTAGAAGCCTAAAAATTAAGGGAGCATCCATATTTTAAACCAGGTCCCATACTTCCCATTACCATCCCCTTGTGCATTACAATCAACCTTTTCAACAAATTAATCTCGCTTGAGTTTCACACTATCACAGACTTGGCTCTTGTCCTTTCTTCAATGCTAGGAAGCAGTGACCTCTATATAATAGCTATAAATCAGAATTCACATTTCACCATGAATCATCACTGCAGGCTAACATTTTGCTGGAGTGAAGATTATTGTTAATGAACAGCCAGAGTTAATTCAATGTGCTTTTGTCCTGCAATGGGATTGCTCTGTAGTTTAAAGAATATTTATATTTCCAAGGTTTTCCCTTAGCTTTCTGAAATCCAACAGTCAGGAGCTTCTCTGTTCCAGGCCAAAGTGTTACATTTACAGGCATTACAGATGAAGAGTACATGTTTACAGTCAGAAAATCAAATTCAATATCATACTGCACATGTGGACAGGTATTACCCACTGCCAGAACAATGCCAGATGTATAATGTCTTTTGACGAAGTACAAACAGGATTCATGAATTGAGCTGAAGTTAGTTTCAGTCCAAGAAACTGATGGGGTCAAAACATTTTTCCAATATAAAATTGATGCTTCATGACCATTTTCTAAATCACAGATGCATAACCTTAAATCAACATTATCGGCAGCACAAACCTCGTAAGGACTATATGGGGTCAAGCGGTCAACTCCTACTAAAGTCAGTGCAGTATCTACCTGAGAACGGAAGTTGATGACCACAAAGTATTTTTCTTCATCATGACCTGCACTTTCTGGAGCCTTTATATAAAGATCAAATTTCACAATGGTCTCATTTTTATCCTCATGAACTTTCCCATTGTCAAATCTAACACCAATTAATTTTTGACAGGCCACATAGCCTTTCTGAGAATTTTTTGAAGCTCTCTGTTGTTGAAGGATTTCATGGTTCATTTGACCAAGCGCAAATTCAGCATACAGTGCAAATCTGGAATCACTTAGTGCTGGTTTTTCAAAGTCTTGGCAAATGCAAAAGTTTGGAGGTATCCTGGGAATGCTGTTACAGGTCCTACTTGCAGAAACTGGACTCAGTAACCCATCAGTATTAATTCCATCTTTCAAAATTTTCCCATCTTTAGCTCCAAAAGGTGGCAATAGACCTTTTAAAGTATGATGAATGTCGAGAAGGCTGATCAACCTGCGCTGATTTGTGTGCAAAGATTTGATCTTCTCTTCACCCAGTAAAATAGCAGCTGTGTCTGGGACAATCATAAATAGTGTAGTGTGGAATATCTCAATCTGGGATTCTGTAGTCATTGAAACAAATTGTCCATAATTATTGCCATGATCTGAAAGAATGAAGGTCACAGTGTTTTGTTGATCAGCCAAGATAGATACATGTTTGGCAAGATCTTCATCCAATTGCTTTAACCTGAGGCCTGTATCTTCATGATTGGTATCCAACATGAGAAAACTGAATAGAGGCTTTTGCAGGAAAGAGAAACGAGTGATAAAGTATTCGATATATTGCAGAAGGTAGTAATGCTGATGGATACCATTGTAACATATGGTAGCAGGTCCATGAAACATATCCTTCACCCTATTCTCTTGAAGAATATCACAGCTAGAGTAGGAAACATCTATCCTATCAATTCCACTTCTTTTGACTGCTTCCAAAAACAAATTTACTCTTTCTGTAAACAGTGCCTTTTTGTTAAGAGCTCTCAGCTCTTTCACCAAACCCCATTCCCACTTCCAACACATATCCTCCAAATATAAAATCTCATATCCAAACTCTTTAAAATGTCCAAGTGTCTTGTTAAAATCCACAGCCTTTGGTGGTAGCACAAATGAACTAAATGGTTTAAGTGGATTGAAGGCCTCACCACCAAACAGAGCTTGGAGAGACTCAAATGTTCTGCTTTTTATACCTTGAACCAACTCAAAGTCAAACACGTGTCCAGTTTTAAAGACATTAGTGTTCAAATCTATGAATGTATTAATAGTTTTTGGCAAAGTTCTATAAAAATGGTGCCTGGAAACAGAGTCCAAGAGTAAAATATTCACGTTCAGTGCGTGCTTATTTTTAAGTTTTTTCGGAGAATTACTACTGGTTCGCAACACTGGAGGCAGAATAAGAAGCTGTGATATCTTTCTTCCATCATGGCCGAGGCAACGAATGAAGCAGTAACCATGGTGATAGGTTCTCCAGTCCGTGAGCAATTCTTGATTAATAAATAACATGGCTTCCGCTGTGGATTTAAACTTCTTCCACTGATTAACACCCATATCTTCATTGTATATTCCTATCACTACAGCGGATAATTCACTGCACAGATCATGGCGACAGGTCATTTCAGGTTTTGCTGGATTGTAATTCTTATAGAAAGCAACAACAAAAAAAACATAAAATGCAGGAATTAAAATCAATACTACAAAGCTTCCTTTGCGAAAGATCAGATAATACGCAATTGCAACATACAGACCAGAAGTATTCAGCTTTTTAACTCACATTCTGTGTTTAATAGGTTGAACTCAGTGGGACAGCAGTTTGAATGCAACAATTCATCAAACTGCCCCAAAATTAGACATTTAAAATTAATCGCTGCACATTCCTTACTACTACCCATCGATGCAGGACAGGATATATGCATGTGCATTTCAAAACAAGCCAAAGTGATAAACAGTCAGGCAAGAATCGCCCTGGGAGCATTCAAAATTGACTCCAGACCCCATTGTATCTCATTGCGTCAGGTCAAGTTTGGGCAAGGAAACCTTCTGAATTATACCACTCACCGTGTACCACCATCTCAGCTAATGAATCACTACTTCTCCATATTGAACACCGCTGGAAGAGGAACTGTGAGGGGGCAAGGGCACAGAACATATTGTGGGTGTCTTGGTAGAATTATTCCTTACAGAGCTAGCCAATGACAGACTGGGGAGTAGCAGGTGGTAAGGCGATCAAAAAGCATTAAAAGTTGACTTGACCACATCTTCATCAATCTAACTATTGCAGAAGCCTCCATTTGTGACTGCTGTTTTATGAGTGACCATTGCACAGCCTTAGTGGAGACAAGTTTCATCTTCATTTGGAAGACACCTTGTCGTCTGGTCCTATCACCGTGCCAAACTGGATAGACTTTGAACAGATCTAGCAAGTCAAAACTGGGAATCTACAAGCTGCTATGAGCCAGCCGCAGTACTGTGCTCAACTGAACTGTGTAATGTCAGAGATACCCTTGGCCCTCCAAACCTTCCTTCCTTCCAACTCAAACCCCTCTCCCAACCCCATCTCGTCATGTATTTACTATCCTATCTGACCTTTCATCCACTGATGCTGAATGTTCTATACTTGGAAAACATCTTCAGTTTTATCCCTCTGCATCACCACCTCAATGAATTTTGGCACGACATGACATTGAACTCTTCTTTCGTCACCTTTGCCTCCGTGCCCACTTCTTTGGACAAGAGTTCTGTCTTAGTACCACAAAACCCTTTGCCCACCTCCAACACTCTCCCTCCACCTGCAGCCCTCCATCTGGCCATTTGCCTGCACTTGACCTGTTCATCAAGAACTGTTGGCGTGACATTGGTCACCTCAATTTCTTTGCCTCCAATCCCTCACCCATTTCAATGTATCTCCCCGTGAACCGATTGCACTCCATGCTCTCAGAGCCAACCCAGACCTTGTAATTAAGCTTGCTGACAAGGGTGGTGTTGTTGTTGTCAGGTAGACTGAGCTCTACATTGCACAAGCTGAGCGCCAATTCTCAGATACCTCTTTCCATCTCGGCATGGATCATGACCCCACCATGGAACATCAGACTACCACGTCTCCAACGGTCACTAACTTCATTTCATTTGGTGATCTGATGATCAGAATACCGAATGGCCTGGACAGAGTGGATGTTGGGAAGATGCTTCCATTGGTAGGAGAGACTAGGACCCGAGGGCACAACCTTAGAGTAAAGGGAAGACCTTTTAGAACGGAGATAAGGAGAAACTTCTTCAGCCAGAGAGTGGTGAATCTATGGAAGTCACTGCCACAGAAGGCTGTGGAGGCCAGGTCATTGAGTACATTTAAGATAGAGATAGATAGGTTCTTAATTATCAAGGGGATCAAGAGTTACGGGGAGAAAGCGGAAGAATGGGGTTGAGGAACTTATCAGCCATGATTGAATGGCAGAGCAGACTCGATGAGATGAATGGCCTAATTTCTGCTCCTATGTCTTATGATCTCACCCACCACTGCCTCCAAGTTTTTAATCCCCCAACCCCATACAGCTCACTTCTACTTCCTTCCCAAAATCCATGAACAGAACTGTCCGGGCAGACCCATTGTTTCTGTCTGCTCCTACTCCTGCTCCACAGAACTCATCTCTTCCTATCTTGACTCAATTTTTTTCTCTCCTTGTCTAGTCATTTCCCACTCACATCTGTGATTTCTCTGACACTTTAGGTGTCTACAGCTTTCTGGACTCAATATCAAGTTCAACTATTTTAGGGCTTTAATCACCTTCTCCCATGTCCTTACACCAATCTCCACGCACCAGGCATTGTTATCACATGGTTTGCTGTTACACACGACCATTGTTAGCAACTAATAATCCTGATTAGCAGCCGTTCATTCTCTTAGGCTGATTGTTATCCACTCCTTTGTCTCTCCAACTGTTCTTCTCTCTCTTTGGGCTCTATCTTTTACCCCTCCCTCCCCCACCCAATCTTATGCATAAAAACCAACCTTTTCCTAGCTACCATCAGTTCTGAAGAAGTGTCACTGGACCCAAAACGCTGACTCTGATTTCTGTCCACAGATACTGCCAGACCTGCTGAGATTTTCCAGCAATTTCTGCTTTCATTTCTGGATTCCAGCATCTGTAGTTCTTTTTTTTTATTAGGTGTGTGAAATATGTAACCTCATGGCGTAGCATTTCCTCTATTTTACCATTACCATCAAGCCAGCTGATCAGCCTTGGTTTACTGAAGAGTGCAGGAGGACACGCTAATACCAGTACTAGCCAAACCTGAAAATGAGGTGCCAATGTGGTCTTATGCCAAATAGTAAAAGTAGCATGTAATAGATGGAGCTAAGAAATCCCACAACCAATAGATCAGATCTAAGCTCTGCAGTCCTGCCACATCCAATCATGAATGGCGACGTACAATGAACAATTACCCAGGAATTGGATGCTCCACAAATATCCCCATCCTTGATGATGGGGGTGCCCACTGCATCAGATGAAAAGTCAAGCCTGAAGCATCTGGAACGATCATCAGCTAGAATTGGGAGTAATTAGAGCCTTTACTGATGTTTCATTATTTTTTTTTCCACCAATTTTTGTTTAGAGTTGTGAACTCTGACCTGAAGATGAACTTTGGCCTGTGAGCAGCAGGTTACGTTTGTTTGTGACGTCAGGCGTGGAAGTTAATTGCAGGTTGGTTCTTAATCAAAGGATCTACACATCCTTTGACGCTGGAGAAAACAGTATGTTTAACTAGATAGCAGATGTTTGGCTATTAATGAGGTCAGCACCTGGGAACTGGTACCAGCAAGTCTGGGAGGGAACATGATGGTCAAACAGAGGGAGGAGCCAGAGAGTTTGAACTCATTTTTGGACTGTTTCTGAGGATGAGGAGTTTAGCAGTTGATGTGACAGTGAAAACATTTGAAAGCTTCCTCTTATCAGCTATTGGATGTTCAGAGAACAGAACTAATTTGTAAGTACCACTGACTTCCTCAGAGTGAACGGATCGCCAATTATTCACAAAGTCTAGAATGGGTTATTCAAAAAGCCTGATTAGGAACCATTATGGTCAATTTTGAGGGTCATTGAAAGTTTTTATTCTACCATGTTACTAATTCAGAGGTCGGGATGCTGATTTGATTTGGGTGTCTTTCTCTGTGTCATAACAGACTGGCATTGATCAACATCTTCAGAAAATCAACTACAAAATAATGGTTTATATCTGTGGAATAACACATTGTGGAAACTGCTGAAGTAATGTGACTAATTTTGTTATTTTCTTTCCTTTAATTTATCCCTTTACAGTGTTTGTTTGTCTTTTGTGTGACTGGAGCTGAAAACCAAGGTTATTAGGTTTAGAATCAGAGGCATTAATAAGATTACTTTGCTGTTTTATTTTGTTCTGCTGAAGTTACTACTTTGTTAATGTATGTTTAAGCTACAAACCTGGTGTCTAGAATCAATTATTCACAAAGTCTGAGATTGGTAATTCAAAAAGTACGGTTATGAATCATTAAGGTAAATTCTGAGGGTCTTTGAAAGTTTTAATTCTACTGTATTATGAGTCAAGTCAACCTGTCTATTTCTGATTCAGCTACTAGATGATTTGTTTTGGCCTCCACCTCAAGACCACAGCATCAGGTGCTGGTCTTCAGCCAAATGAATTCACGCTACAGAAGGAAACAGCTGAAGACACTGAATAGGCAATGTCCTGACAACATCCCAGCAATAGCAGTGAACATCTGTGCTGCAGAACTACTTGCACACCTACCCAAGCTGTTCCAGAACAGCTGGAACAATGACATCCATCCAACAATATATATGCCCAGGTATATGCTGTCCACAAAAAGCAGGACAAATGTAACTCAGTCTACTCTCGCTCATCAGCAGATTGACAGAAGGGGTTATTAATGGTGATATCTACTGGCAGTTGCAAAGGAATAACGTGCTGATGCTCAGTTTGTGTTTTGCCAGGGCCATTTAGCTCCTGACCTCATTAAAACCTTGGTCCAAACATGGACAAAAGAGCTGGATTCCAGAGATGAGGCGAGTGCAACAACTCTTGCTACGAAGGCAGCATTTGACCTATTGTGACATCAAAGGGCTCTCACAAAATTAGGTCAATGTGAATCGAGGGATCTCTCTCAGTTTGGTGGAGTCATACCTGGCACAAAGGAATATGATTGTGGTGGTTAGAGATCAATGCCATAACATCTCTGCAGGAATTCCTCAGGATAAGAGTCCTAGGCCCACCATCTTCAGCTGTTTCATCAGTGACCATTTTCCCACCCAACCACCACCCCACCCTCTTTCATAAGGTCAGATGTTTGCAGATGATTGCACAATATTCAACATCATTCAGGACTTCTCAGATACTAAAGCAGCCCATGTTCATACACAGCAAGACCTGGATAACTTCAGGCTTGTGTTGAGAAGTGGCAAGTAACATTCAGCCTCATAAATGCCAAGCAATGACCATTTATAGTAAGAGAGAATCTTACCATTGGTCTTGATATTCAATAACATTTGCATAACTAAATTCATGTTCTGAAGGTTACCATTGACAAGAACTGAACTGGCCTAACCATACATATATATACTGTGGCTACAAGAGCAGGTCAGAAGCTAAGACGTTTGTGGTATGTAATTCATATCCTGATTCCCCAAAGACTGTCCACCATCTACAAGGCGCAGATCAAGACAGTGATGGCGTATTCTCCACTTGCCTTCATGATTGCAGCTCCACCACTCAAAAAAACTCAATGCCATCCATGACAAAGCAGTTGCTTTATTGGCATCCCATTTAAACATTCATTCCCTCTACCACTGACTTGCAGTTGCAGCAGTGTTAACACCATCCACAAGATGCATTGCAGAAACTCATCAAGGCACCTCATATCAAGGGGAAATCAACAGTTATGGGAATAGAGCAGTAAAGTGGATACGACTGGTGTCAGATCAGTCATGATCTTATTGAATGGCCCAGCAGGCTTAAGGGGCTGAAAGATCTACTCCTGTGCTTATTTCCTATGATCTTATGATAGCAAATTCCAAACCCATGAGCACACTACTATCTAGAAGGGCAAGGGTAGCAGATACATGAGAACACTCCAAGTTCCCTTCCATACCAGATACCATCGTGACACAGAACTATGTTGTTGTTCCTTTGCAGTTGCTGAGTTAAAATTAAGGAACTTCCTTACTATCAGCACTGTGGGTGCCCCTACTCTACAAGGACTGCATTGGCTCAAGAAGGCAGTTCATCTTCTCCAGGGCAATTAAGGATGGGCAATAAATGCTTGGCTAGGCAGTGATGTCTCATTGCATGAACAAATATTGAACAAAAATAAATTTAAGTATTGTTGAAAAATGAGATGTGATGTGAAAGCTTTTTGTCTAGCACACATCAGGACAGAATTACAACAAGAAAAAATTCAAAGGAGATAACAATCCATGCTGCCTGTTAGAGGGTGCTGACTGGTTGAGAAATAGACTCTGATTGGTAGAGATGTTTCCAGCAAAATACATCAGGGAACTGTTAAGTGCCAAGCTTTCTTCAGCAATGTTCAAGATAGTGGCATAGTGGTAAAGTCATTGGAGCAGTAATCCAGAGGACCAGGCTATTGCTAATGAGATTTAAATTCAATTAACAAATCTGGAAGTAAAAGCTAGTCTCACTGTTGGTCAGCATGAAACTATTACTGATTTTTTTTTTTTTTTTTTTTTAAGGACAATCTGGTTCTCTACTGCCCTTTAGGGGTAAAGCTACTGTCCATGTTGGCCAAATGACTCAAGAATTTCTTCTATCAGAGAGTAGTGAATGACTGAAATTCTCTACCCAGAGAACTGTGGAAGGTAGATCACTGAAAATACTCAAAGAGGAGATGTATTTTTGAAATATCAAGAGGGCAACAAACAGCTGGTAAAGAAGAGGATTTAAGGCCTGGAACAGATCAACCATGACCTTGCTGAATGGCAGGATGGTTTTGAGGAATCAAATGACCTCCTCCTCCCCCTATTTTCTATACTCTTATTGAGAGCCATTCCAAAGTGGATGACTAGTATCTGCCCTCTGAAACGGCCTAGCAAGCCACTCAGGTCAAGGGCAACTAGAGGCAATCCAGAGAAGGCTCACTAGGCTGATATCGGGTATAGATGGACTCTATAGTGAGGAGAGGATGAGTAAATTGAGCCTGTACTCGCTCAAATATAGAAGAATAAGAGACAATCTTACTGAAACATTCATGATTCTTAGAGGACTTGACAGGGCAGATGTAGAAAGTTTGTTTCTAGGACCAAAGGTCATTAATGTGTGACTCCTTATTCTGAAATTAAGAAAGAGATGGAGGAGAAATTTCTTTTCTCAGAGGGTTGTGAATCTGTGGGATTCTTTGCCAGAGAGGGCTGCTCAAGCTGGTCATTAAGTATATGCAAGGCTCAGCTAGACAGATTTTTAATTAGTAAGGAAATTTGGAGTTTTGTAGAAAAGGCAGGAAAGTAAAGTTGAGGAATATCAGATCAGCTATGATTTCCTTCTATGGTGGAGCAGACTCGATGGGCTGAATGGTCTACTTCTACTTTTATATCTTATGGAGGTGGACAACAAATGCTGACATTGCTAACAACACTCATATTCCAAAAGAATAAAGATAAACAAAGTAGAAAGTTAGTAGTGTGGAGCATGAGAACAAACATCTTGAACTGTTAATTTGACTTTGAAAGACTACTTCATAATGATTGAAGAAATATTTGATGGGAAACAGATGTTTTCCTGCTTTTGATTTCCTTTCTTCAAGCCAGAAATTTAAATTGGAGTATGCAAGTAGATGAAATCAGCCCAAATGTGACTTTGACAGAGTAATCGAGTGCTCAATTTAACATCAAGATGTCAAATCAGTGAGCAGCGAATGAGGATGGGGTGTTGGAGGGGAATGAAGAGGAAGAGAGAGGAGAATATCTGGTATTGATGGGCCTCTCTAGTCTGAAAACATGTGTAATTCTCACACCCTCTCAGTAAACTCCTAGATAAGATCAGCAGAAATCAATTTGGGTTTGGATGGTTTTTACTATTTTGTGGACAGAGGCAGTACAGTGGTCCCTCAGTGTTGGAAACGCTAGATTCATACATTTTATGTTTTCTAGCTACCTACAACCAGAAGGGGCCAGAATCAAGCATTCATGCAGACTGCATGGACTAGAAGCAAGCATTGATGCAAATTTTGCATCAAAATCAAGATTTATTGTATGATCTCTTCATTCATTTTCTCCCAGAACATAACTCTTTATTTCCCTTAGTTTCTCTTCCTGTCATCTTCAGGATTTTAAAACTGAAGTTTGTCAGAATCACAGAGTTTTGTAATACAAGAGGCCATTCAGTCCATTGTGCCTCCAGCAGCAATCAAAGAACTGTCCACTGAGTCCATTTACCATTCCTTACTGTTACCCAACCATTAATTTAGATCTTCCCCTCTTACAGTATTCTCAATCTTAGTTGTCCTGTGTTATAGATCATGGTTTTCAAATCAGTTTTTGAACTACAGCAACAAACAAACTTGTTCATTCATTCCACCAATCTTACTATACAAACAGTCTTTTCAGTGATTTCTTGTAGATGCACATACACAGTTTCAGAATTTCTGATTAAAATAGATACCTTCGTCTCACAAATCATACGTGACAACTGGTGTGAACAGTTGGCTGTTTCTTTGTCAGCAAACAACTCCTTCATGATGCGGCAAGAACCTGGTACAAAATCTGTTCGGCGACATGCAACCTCTTCCCTGGGTCTCTCTTCATCTGGCTGCAACCTGAAAACTGGACATGTGTCATCATACTGGACAGTTTTTGCTCTGGTGCTGACTCTGCTAAGACTTGGTTTGTACTGTAAAGAATGCAGAGTATACAAGTTAAACACAACCAATAGACAAATATTAACATTTCAGTATCAACTTCTAAAATAATATTTCTTCCATAACAATAAAACATAGAACAGTAGAGCACAGTACAGGCCCTTCGGCCCACAATGCTGTGCCGATCTATTATCCTACTAAGATCAAACTACCCTGCATACCCTACATTTTACTGTCATCCATGTGCCTATCCAAGAGTCGCTTAAATGTCCCTAATGTATCTGACTCCCACTACCACCGCCGGCAGCGCATTACACAGAGGGTGGTGGGTGCGTGTAAAGAACCTACCTCTGACATCTCCCCTATACCTTCCTCCAATCACCTTAAAATTATGTCCCCTCGTAATAGTCATTTCCGTCCTGCGAAAAAGTCTCTGGCTATCCACTCTATCTATGCCTCTCATCCTCAATCCAAACAAACATCAAAAGGAGTAAAGGAACACAGCCTGTGTTCATTGAACTGTAAGCAGCATATGCCAACAACTTTAAGATGTGGGAAGCAAACATGACATACAACTTATGGAGACACTGTACTGCTTTAGCTAGATCACTGTCACTGCTATTTCAGAGATAAAGGATTCTTCTTCATTAAAAAGAAAAATTTACAAATGGAAAGGAGGTCTTTTTCCTCACTAGCATAGAGACAGTGTGTGAAAAACGTAAGTAGTTTTGTCTTATAATTTTAGTTCTTCAATAAGGTGCTTTTTATTCCATTTTCCTAAAAGCAGTATTAATTACATCACCCTATGGTTTTGTTATGGTTTTAAAGCTTACTTTCACAAATGTCGCACTTGTCATTTTCTTCAGGTGTTGGCAGACAATAATTTGCATAAATTAGATATGTTGGTGCAAAGAACTGAATCTATTTCACAGTTATTTTTATAGCCACGATTAGGGGTGCAATAGATGTTATATTTAAAATAGGAATAATCTTTAGCCGCCCAATAATAGACCTCAGTGAGCTATATCAATCCAAATGATCTGCAAGATAATTTATGGAAGTCAGGGGGAAATAATATCCTCAGTCTGAACTGAAAGTAAACCCAAATATCAGGGATACAAAGCAATATTGCAACACATTGTACTCTCCAGATAAACATGCAAACATAACTGAAGTGATTAACTCAGTATAATGCCTTACCAATATTGTACTCCCTCTGCTGCTTTGTAGATGTATTACTATTAACAATATTGGCAGTGAATCAATAGACACTTAGGTTGTGCACATGACCCATAGATGACATTTTCAATTTATTCGTAGCACTCACTCCCCACAGATAGCTCCAATATTTTCAAAGTGTTAAATAGCAAGCGAACACCAAGCAGGAGACAAAGGATAAAAGAGGAAGAAGGTCAAAAGCAGAAAAAGCACAGGTAAGGAGAAACTGAAAAAAAAAACATTTTAAAAGCATGAAGAATAGAGTTGGTCATAAATGGGGTGCAATCAGCTGCACTCAGGTCAGCACCCTGTTATAGATAGGGGAGAAACTGTAGGATGCTTCACCCTTTTTGGCACGTCTCGACTGACCAAAGAAAGACATGTTTTAAAATATCTTGGGCTGAAATTTTACTTTTTTTGGGCTGAATGTCAGTTTAATTGAGTTTCTTGGAGGATTTCTCACCACAAGGTCATTCGCCGCATCCTACCAATGCCATTCATTAATCAACTACCCAGCTTCTGTGGCACCTCTCCCGCCAATTATACATACACTATACCCACACGCTGTTCCAGAAGAACTTGCTGCTCGCCAGGTACCTGCCAAAAGCATCGCTGGCAAATGTGCCATCTTCAAATGGGCACTGTGCAGCCAGACATGCACTGGAAATTGGTGTTGGTCTTCACTGGCAACATAATGGCACAGCAGTGACTAAGCCAAGCTGCTTGTGGCAGGTAGTGCATAACTGACACTCCCTCACACATGTAACTCTATTCTCTCACCCTAGCCATTGTTTAATCACTGGGCCACAAATTTCATTCATCCTTAGCTACATCCTATCTAACCACCCTCTAAGGCACCGCTATTCTGTCCCCAGTGCGTACTGGAAACCCATATCTTGTCATTCTCCGGTATGGGATCCCACATTCAGACAAGCAATTGGGCAATTCCGAAGATTTATCTTTATTTTCATCACTGTAAATAAACATAACAGACTGCAGGTCACCCCACAATGCAAACCAAATGCTGGCATGATGACCAATTACCATTTTATATTCCATGATGGTCTGCTGCACCTAACTCCCATCTACTGGAGCTCTGAATCAATCAGGTTCTGTCTGGCTTGTAGTACCCATGCAGCTGAATCCTGTTAGGCACAAGGACAGCTTCCTCCATACCCAATGCCCTTATCCTCCTCAGGAAGTGAACGTGATATTGCACAGATGGTATCCGTCACTGTCCTGAAACGTTGGTGGGTGCTCAATTGAGAGATCCCACACAGGTCACTATTGATTCCTGGAAGGAGCCAGTCACAAATGTCCAAAGCAGCTGTCACTTCCATAGCCACAGGGGTAGGATGGCCTCTCTCTCTGGTAGCCCTCAGTTCCCACTCCAGTATCTAGCATAATGCCACCACGGTGTTCTGGGCATACGGAGCCTGTGTCAAAAGACAGCCTGTGCCTCTCTTATCCCAGGAAATGGAGTGAGGGTGAAAATGCTGCAGACCCCTGAGAAGCTGATGTATCCTGCAGCAGTAAGCTCTCTTTGAGCTGGGCGCTGCCTCGCCTTCACGGTGGCCTGTGACTGCTCCTGGTCTTGCTCTCAGCTTTGGTTCTCCTGCATCTGCCTTCACATCTTTAGTATGGTGACAATCACCATCCCATCAGCGACTGGGTAAATTAAACTTACTGGCAATGTTGGGAAGATAAAGAGCAAAACAGGGTCTTAGTTCTGAGAACCGTCAGAGGAGACCAACCCTGCAGATGAGGGTTGCACACCTTCCTCCAGTGTGACATGCAATGATCCAATAACAAAAGATCATTCTCCCTCATTCATTCAGCCTCAGCCTCAGCCTCAGCCAGGGCACCAACTTCGCAAAAGTGCCACACTGGCTAAGTAAACAACACATTTCATGAAAAAGGATTTGCCATTTGCAAATCACCTCTGACCAGCATCTGAACCCTAAACACACTCTGCATGCTTTGCAAATGGTTGATGAAATACTTGGAAGTTAAATGTAGCAGCAATTCACAAATGCATGCTTCTGGTATTTACTTTTACAATGTCCTAGCATCCAACAGACATGGAGCCTGTGCTTTCAACCATCAAACTGACTCTGACTCTACCAGGTACTTTCTGCCAGCTATTTTCCAATTGCAGTTATTGTCTAGAGAACAGTAAGTGATGGCAATGAGCATAGCTCATGGTGGGCACCATCAGCACCAGGCTGTCCTTGGTCTCAAGTTAATCCCACAACCCCAGAGCCTCCATGTCCAGTTTTAACTCTCACTACCCAACAGCCTGTTTCCACCCATTCCCCACCATCTGCAGAGCCACCACATTGCACTTTGCCTCCAACTTTCCTTGCACCCGAATCCCAACATTGCATCTTACTGATCAATACCCACAATGATCCTGTACAGTCCCCCTGTCGTGGTCATGGTGGTGTTCAATACCATTCCATTGACACTCATTCCTTCTGTTAGTGTTCATACCATCCTCAGTGTCCTTGTCCCTAAATTGACAAATGTGTCTGCTTTTACTCCCCACTGAGCTTTGACTGCATCAACCCCTTTTTGGAAAGGAGCTTCCCTTTGCCCCTGCAGCATTCTTGTCGCTGAACACACAGACCCAAAAAACTGTATTTGCACCAGACCTCTTGTCCACTTTGAAGAACAACCCTAAGCATGACTGATCAGATCACTGAAGGCTATCATTGTAACGCCTGACTGACAGTATGCAATTGTCCTGACTGCAAGAAACAACCTGACAAAAGTGAGTGTTTCCAGACTGTATTTAGACATATCCCCTGACCATGACTGGCCCAAGCAGACAACTGACAGTGGTCAAACCGCTGGACTATGTGCAGACTATATAAGTAACTGATAGTGCCAGGACACCCTGACCAAGAGCAGCCCTCCCTAGATTGGAATAAGGACGGCACACACCCCTGGCCTGCCACACCCTGCTGAAACCTTTTCCTGATATGGACATTTGCATGAACAAACATGCAATGTGTTTGCCATACAGGCAGCTGGCACATGCTGTCATTGATGTCTCTGTGTACTGTACAGCAAGATGTCCCCACACCCCAGATACTTCTCGACTGAGACACAGTCTGTGCGTCTGTGCAAACGGTAATGCCAATATAGTAGTATTGATAGTCTTAGGCGCTAGTTGAAGCAGTAAGCATTAACAGGCATGACAAGGTAAGGCAAGGCACGGATGCTGCAAACATGTTAGCAGTTGCTAAGTGAGCAAACACTTAAAGATCAAGCAAGCAGCCTTAAGATGCAGCCAAGACCAAATCCATGAGTTGAATGCCAGTCCCTATGCAGTGTGTCCCTGCAGGGCCTTTCAATGCTAAGCAACCTGCAATGCAGGTTCATACTTCCCAAGCATCCTGCAAAGAATTGGGAGATGTCATGAGGTTTGGCAATTATTGGATGCCAATGACTGGTGCCCTGAGCTGCTGTTGTGGGTTGACAACAATGCAATCACCAGTGAGCTCAAGTCATCAGGTACATGCTCTGACTTCCATGTTGAGAATCCTTGACAGCTAGTGCGTATGCAGCAGTTGGTAGGATGGAAAGCTGCAAATTAATGAGGTAGGATTACCTTAAGAAGGTCTTTAACAAACAATAATCCTACTTAATAAGCAACTTGAAAGTGTCTAGCAAGAATCTCACCTCGAAGCCTGGAACATAGTTAAAAGATGCAGCAAATTGTTCCTGACATCAAGGCAGACTTTGCTAACTTCTCTTGCAATTCCACCATTTCAGCATAGCCCTTGCCATTCAAGCCTCCATAAGATTC